GGAATGAGGGCTTTTGATGGAATTCCATTTGATACTAAACTCTGTGTAAAAATCTGTGACAATAATAATCCTTTAAGACCAGAATTTGCACCAGGAACACCAGATTATTATATCAAATTAGCCAAAGAATGCACAGATGCTAACCCCCAAAGAAGACCTAATGCTACTGAGATCAATCACAGTATTGGCTATTGGCTCTGCCAGATGAAGAAATACGATGAGAACTACTTCAAGAAGCAATTTTTGGATGCCGACATAGTTGAACCAGAACCGGTCGAACCGAAACATCCATCATTAATGTATACCAGCAAACTAGTCAACATATTAGATAATGTTCAAACGGGCTAATCTATCAATTCCATTGAAGTTCATGATACTGATAGAGGCTTAAGTTTATTTTTATTTAAAAATTCTTTAAATTAGCAAATACCGGTATTTTTTTAAGGTTACAGTAACCAAGCCAATCAGATTGCACAATTTAACCTTTTCAGTATTAAAGAAATATTTTAAACTATAAAATAAAAAATTGATGTTTATGAATTTTATTATATTTATTCACTGAATATTCGTTGAAATAATTCAGAGAAAGATTATAATTCGAATTTGGGTTGAGTTCACTCCAGAGCTGCTCCGGAGTATGTATATATGGGGTCGAAATTAGGGTTGATTTTCGACAGACGGTCTGGCGAAATTTTTCGGCATGGTGTTTCAAAACGCCATGTGCCGAAATTTTTTTTGATTACCTATATTATAGACTGCCAATATTATTATTGCTGCTTATGTTATTATTGGCTGCCAATATTATCATAGACTGTCGATATTATCTTATATATACAAGTCACTCTCTTTATAGTGAAGTGATCCGTTCCATTAATAAAAATTTTTCAAAAATTCACTATATCGAGAGAATTTTATATAGACTGGCTTTGAGCCTAACTTTACTATATCAAGATTTTAATTAGTCATCACTATATCGAGAGTTCACTATAACAAGAGTGACTTGTATATTTTCATTGTATTGTCTGTTGAGAAGGTGTGAACCGGTTCTGGTACGGAACTCAACCGGAAGTTCTGGTTACACCTAGGTTCGTGGTTCAACAAACAAACACTACAAATCCAACAATCAACCCTAAGTTGGAAGGCTGAAAGAGGGCGTGGAAGATTTGGTCCGGGTTTTAAGGTTGCAGAGAGGATTTCCTTAGGCAAGTGTTGTTTGGTTCTTGGGCTTTATTATTATTCTTTCGGTTTTGGTCTTTTAGGTTCTTATACTTTTGAAAAGGATTAGATGGCACGTGATCTGGTCCTCTTTGCGATTGGTTATTGATTTAACAATGGGAATTTGTTAAGCTAAGGGTTTATCAATTACACTATATAAGGGGTGATTCACTTATTGTTGGCCTTAAACTGATCTATTCTGATTATCACGGGTTTTAACTATAACGATTCTTTTAACAGTGACAAGTTTATAACAAGGTCACAATACTTCTACTCGAATTTCAAAGTATTAGACTTATAAACAATGAACTTATCAAGGTTAGGAACTCATTGAACTCGAAAGTTAGACTTTCTAAAGTTAAACTTATAAAGTTATTTTTATTAAAGGAAATTCAAATCACTTATATACATAAATTTTATTAATACAGGATATCAGAGATAATAAAGAAAATGAAAAAAAAACAGAAATCTGAGAGATTTGGGGGATCTTGTAGATTCAGATTAGGATCTCTGAGATTTAGTGGATCTTAAGGATCCTAAGGATCATAGCCAGAATAGTTGGGATTTTAGAAATCCAGATAATTTCAGAGATGAAGAGGTGAAGTAAGTTTGCGAAGCTTCAAGATTTTCAAGAATTTTGGTTAGTGTAACTTCAGATTATAAGTACTTCTGAGGTTACCAGATTTGTCTTTTATACTGTTCATTTTTTGAAATATGATTGGCTAATTTATGGTATTTAGTGTGAACTAGTTTTGGTCAGAACTTGACCTATAGTTAGATTACATCAGTATTCAGGTTTTAACAATATAACATTATAATACTATTAGAATAAACTAGAAAATGTGATGTAAACATATGTGCATATATGTTTATATTTTTTGTTAATTATATATGCACATATATATCATAGTATATATTGTAAAAAATGTTTTTACAAAGCTTTTAAAAGTAATATTACAAATGAAAATAGTTTTAATTTATATTATATAGTAAATTAAAACTTTATATTTACTAAATAAATATAATAATAAGGTTTGGTAATTTTAATATAGTGGTTAGGTTACCAGACTGCTATTCAAAAGATTTGGAGTTCAAATCCTACTGTTAACAAATTTAAATAATTACTTGAATCTTTATATCTTACTTATAGTAAACCCTGTCTGTTTCTGAGGTTATAACTTTATAAATCTCATTATACTAATATCATCTAAATATTAGAAGTATAACATAATATTGTATGAATAAATCTTGATAAGATCTAAAAGCAGAGGACCTGTATAGTAGAAATCCTAAGTTGGTGAAGTAGTATAGCTTTTAATAGTTATACTAGCTAATACTTGATCTGAATGAAAACTATTATTCAAAAAATATAGATTAAGTTAGATACAAGTAAGTCTGTTCTATGAGGAGAATTAGCAATACCAATCTGGTTTAATAGCTAACTAGATTTGAGAGGATCTACCTTATAAAATATCTGAAGAAATTAGCAAACAATATCATTAGAGAGCCACAGTAAAAACTAGGTTATATGAATATCTGCAAGAGTCTAAACTAGGTAAATTTGTAAAATAGGCATAGACTATTCTAGTAGATTTGCTTATGAGGTTAACTAGAGCTCTATATATTACAATATGTTGAGCAATACATATCCTGAGAGAACCTAAGCTAAGTTAGGTAAATAGATCTGTAACAAGCTAGCTAGCTTAAGTAGCTAGGTATTATAATGATATTAGTTGATTCTAGTATAAGTTAGTTGAAAAGAATATTTAAATAGATAACTTATAAGTGGATTACAGATATAGTAGTTTGTGTAAAACCAAACAGATAATCTACTTGCATAGTAGACTACTTAAATTAGATAATAACTAAAGTTATATATATAGCAGGTTGTATATTCTTCATATAATTATAAACTATAGAAAATTGTTAATAGACAACCTTATATATTAACTAATAAAATCTGCTCAATATAATAAGCTGCCTTAACAATAAAAAAAAAAAAAAATAAAATAAATATAATAATAACACTTTTACTTAAATTCTTTGTTATAATAATGTTTTCACTTAAATTCTGCCAAAAAAAAAGGTATTAATATTTATATGCTCTTAGTACTAGAAATTTGAAACAATCTTTGCTTTTAGTATTAGAAAAATTAATAATATAAAATTTAAAATTGTATTCATTATTAGTTAATATTAAATAAAGCTCAAATAAAAATATATGAATTTGTTTTTTTTAAATTTTTTCAAAAATAATTACACTCAAAAATCATATTAAAGAAAATAAAGTGTATGAAAAAATTTTTATATTGATGATAAAAGTTTATTTTGTACTTTTTGTAAATATATTATAAATTATAGAAATAAATTTTTACTTAATTAATATTTAAAAACTAATAAATATAGAACAAACAAATTTAAAACCAAAAACTTACAAGAAACTAGTAAAACAGTTTCTAATATTAATATTTGTCAAGAAAAATATAAAACAATTAATATAGATTTAATTTATTTATTTTTTTTTTTTTAATTTCAATCTGTGGGTTGAGGTGAGGTCTTGCATCTATCTTTATTGGGTAAAATATAGTTAAGAGTTCACTTGAAACTACTTGGTAATAAATTATATACAAGAATTGAAGCTCAGATGATAATAACATAACTAAAAAACTAGAGTTAA